CTCCACCCCCACCAAGCCTTTTCCCCCTCCCTCATCTCAGTTTCCGTTTGTTGCAAGCCTTCCGAATCAATTTGGAAGCTTCCGATTCAATTTGGACCTTTTAATAGGTTTCCTGATTAGATTCGGGTTCAGAGATTTGGCCGCCAAATCTCCTCCGAATCGAATCGGCTACCAAAGCTTTGCACAGCCCTAAAAGAGCAGGCTCATGGAACATTATGGCTTCCTTGCTGGAGATAATTGCTAGATCTGATGTGAAATCTGAGACTGTAGTACTCCAGTCTGTTGTAATAATATTCCTCATTCCCGTGCTGAAGAGGATACTGTTTGCCAGTCACTGACAGTGAAATCTACATGCAAGTTACTTACCCTATAGCAGTTGTGGTGCTGCTAGGTGATGATGGCAAGTACTGTGGATCCTGGTGTCAGCGTGCATGAGCCTTGTTCTCAAGTTTTGAAATCTGTTTGATAGCTGGAGCCATGGATGAGCACTGTCCTCATGCTCTTGTGTGGGGGCATAAAGGGAAGAGCACTGGAACTTTGGTTCCCTGCCTCAATTCCATTGTAATTTAAAACTATGTTCAGCTGAGAACTCTGATCTGCCCTTCATGTGTACTTTTCAATGGGATCCACACTGACTACAGCATCCTGACAAACCACAGTTGCTATAGGAAATCTCCAGTGGATAATGTTTCCCAATGCTGATTTCTTAGCAAACTTCTTTAAAGCTAGTTTTCATCATGATGCTGTTTTTGAATTTTCTGCTGCTCAAATATATAAATAACTGAGGAATGAAGGAGTGAGATCCGGTGCATATTACTTTGAATATAAGATGTCTAATGAAAATTAAAAGTTTAACAAATAAAGTATATGATGTAAAAACAGCATGTTTTTGCAGGCTACTACACTAAGTAAATCAGTGAAGAATATAAAAGTAAATACTCTTTTAGTAAATATAACAATCTTGCAACCTCACAGAGTAAGATCCTGCAAGGATGCCAGAAATCTAGTATTTCATCCTGCAGGTGTCTAGCAAGATGATGAGCCAAAATTATGGGTCTCAGTCTAATTGTATGCTCTTCTAATTGCATGGTCTCTGGCACATTCATTGTGTAAGCTGGATGGTACAACGTGAATGATAGCCTTGCAGATTTCTCTAATTTTGGAACAATTCTATATCCAGTTATACATACCAAGTCACTATTTTCATACATGGATGTTATACTTCGATCATTAAAGACTGGCTGATGCTAGAAAGGCTGGTAGAGCAATAGAAGGCCATCCAGGCGATGGCCTTGGTCGGGGAGATTGGGATCAGTGGCCCCCTTAACAAAATGGAGTGGAATACCATCTCTCAGAGCTTGGTGGTCCTCAAGCCATTCCTTGAGGCCAAGAGTCTCAGCGCTGGCGATGCCATCCTTAGCCAGGTGATCCCCATAGCGAAGAAGCTCAAGAATGAAATGGAGAAGCTCCAGGGGATTGATGTTCCTGGCTGGGGCAAGCTGCTTTCACCAGAGGTGCAGGCACTGGTGAAGCAGCTAAAGGAGGGCATCAAAAAAGGCCGGATCCATTGCAGTCCAGTACGGTTCACATGCTGGCAGGCATGTGTGACCGAAGGGTGAAGGGGAGCATCTGCAGCAGCGAAACCCTCGATCACTGGACGGAGGTGTTGGTGAACAGAGTCAGGGAGGCAGAAGGGCAGAGATGGGGAGATGTGGAAGAGGGGTATTCACTTTCCCATGCCAGCACTCCAACCATGAGCCAATCTCCTCCACCACAGCCGCTGCCAATGTGGGCCAAGAGGCACCAGCCCCCACCATCGGGCAGTTAGCATGGAGGCCTCAGTGGCTACCTATCTTGCTGAGGACAGGGAGCCACTGCACTGAACCCCTTGGCCTATTAGGCAACCCACAGCCAGGTGTGGCAGGATTTGGCCACGGTTGCTTGGGAACAGGTGTCTACCAACCAGTGTTCCAAGCGAGAGGGTGTTCAGCATTGCTGGTGATGGTGTGGCACCCCACCGCACCTCCTTGGATCCTGGTTTCATGGAGCAGCAAGGTGAACCTCATGTTGCTGGGGTTCCCCAAGCTCCATGTGCAGGCAATGTGAGTGCCACCCTCCTCACTCAGCACCTACTTGCTTTTTTAATTTGCTTTCAGAACCTTGAGGTGCACTTTCACAGAACCCTCTGCACCAGTCTGCCTGAAACCTGGCAGGCTTCATGCCCGCACAAAGGGCTACCATCCCTGCTGCATTCATCCTTCTCTGCCTTAACACATACAAGTGATACGAGTTTTGCTTTTAACAGTTTAAAATGCACTTTCACAGAAACCCCTGCTCCTATCTCCTTGAAGCTTGGCAGGCTGCATACCCTCAGAAGGGGCTACCATCCCTGCTGTTTTCATCCGAATCTGCAAAAAAATGACAAAACTTATTGGTATTTTAGTGATTCCCCATTATAGTCTATGGCCAAATCAGCACCAAAACTGAATCCAAATCAGCCGAATCGAATCAGGAGTGATTCAAATCACAGAATCAAATCACTGTCCCTCTGAATCAGCCAAATCTGAATCCGAATCTGAAGTGAATACTTGCTGCTTCGCACAGACCTACTTTCTTGCAGATTTTGGATACTAGCACATTTCAAAAACAAACTGAAGATTTTGCTTGGGACCTATGGAAACAAACCTTGATAGTCCATGGAGCAAGCACATTAGTCAAACTGTAATGCAGTATGATGCTCTAAATTATCCACTCTAAGAAACTCTGGGATGAAATAGATTAGTCTTTAAACAGCCAGTCACCAGACTAAATTTGTAGATTTAATCCTGTCAGAACAGAATGGTAGGACATACAATACATATAATGGATATTACTGTGTAAAATGTAGTTTTCAGGGAGAAAAAAAGGTAAAGTATTAACTGGCATAAGAGAAACAGGCTCCACTTTGGTGTCAGAACCAGTTTGTTCTTGTTAAATTAGATGTATGGGCTTCCTCCATAAGTGCTGAAGCTCATTAACTTTTGGCTGAAGCAGTTGGCATCAGTCAGCTTTAAAAAGGCAAGGCAGGAGATGAAGAATTCCAAGGGAGTCAAAGAAGGGTTTGCTAAACTTTAGAAAAGATTCTTCTAGCTCTCAGAAAGGGGCTCTTCCTATCAATGTCAGGTTAGATCTCCTCTTTGTGGTGAATCATAAGGTTCCATTTTGAAACCTGCCAAATGGTGGCCCTCCAGCAAATTAGTCAGCATCAGTAATCTGCCATCACAAGATTGCCTGTGACCCCTTCATGGCCAGTCCTGCATCAGATCCCACAACTGGATACTGCTAAGACACCCTTTGGAAGTACCCTTCCTTTCTTTTTAATGATGGCTTACTGCAAGAAAGCAGGGGATTAGCAGCAGCCCAGGAACTGTAGAATCATTCCTCTAGAAATGCTGGTGTCATTGATGCAGATCCAATGATATTGTTAATAGTATATTATCATAAAAGGAAGAGTGAAGGCAGATACACAGAATCTTGAGAAATACACATTCTTTAGCATCCAGATTGGTACCAAGATATTCTTGGTATGTGTACCCTAATTTTTTGGACTTTTTTGCTGTTGGCACCTTGCAATCTTGAACTTGAGATTTTGAGGACTTGTTCTGACAGTTGGACTCTTCTTTACATGAGCAGTGTATTGTTTTGAGCTGCTCTTACATTTGATGCATGTGCATTTGTCAGTATTTGATGTAGCCTGCTGAAGGGATGTCTACTTCAGGGCTAGTTGATGGAGCCTGTGCCAGGGCTACTAGAGGAAGAGCAGCAGCAAGAAACGGAGCTTTTTGTCAGGGATGCCCTCTTTCCTGAGGCAAAAGAGACATCTGCTGAGCCTGTCAACTAGAGACATCAAGTCACTGCAGGGAGGGCAGTGTGTGAAGGTCCTCTATTTCTAATGGTTGACAAAAGCACCTCACCCTGTTCAACAGTATAGTCCAGGGGTTCCCAAAGTTTTTATGCCACAACCTGGCAAGCCTCGGCCCAGCAATCACAGCCAATCATGGCCAGAATTTCTGGCTAGCAGACAGGTAAAGATACCCCCTGCAGAAGGAGCCATGGCCTCTCTGCCCAGCTTTGGGGGGCCGTGGTTTGCTGGTCCACGGCCACTTCCGGTCCAGCAGCCAACCGTGTTGCGGACTGGCAGTTGATTTGCATCCCAGGGATTAAGAACCCCTATTATAGACAATAGATGTCTTCTTCTCCAGCCTTTTCTTCTAAGGAATATCCAACTAAATAGTTAATATTAAGAACTGAACTGATCAAGTGAAGAATATTTCCTTATAAAATAGGTTTTGAAGCTCAGGAAAAGCATGGGACAGTTCAAGTTCTTTAACACTGCTATGGACAATAAGGGGGAATAGAGAGGTTGCAGCCATTCCATAATTTATGCACATATATACATAGGCAAGGGAACAGAAATGCATTCACAGTGGCATCAGACCTGGCTTACTCATAAGATTCTGTATTCTTGCCCAGGGGCTCTAGGTCTCAACCTGCTCCTCTGCTTCTGCAGCCAGTACTGAAAGCCAATGTCATCACTGGGCTTGGATTGTGGCCAGGTTGAAGTCACCTGGTTTTGGTACAGCTCTTTCTTTAAACAACAGGTACATGGTTTGAAGCAAAGCCTATGCTAGGGCATCTGGCTTCCTCTCCCAACTCATATATAGGCACAAAGGCTATGTTCACAGAAATCAACAGGGCTCTACATTGATGTAGCCGCCTGTGCACATGGAATGAACTACAGAAACACACGTGTTTGGAGGAGGGGGTAAAAAGAGGTGTTGCCTGTTTTCTTATCCTCATTGAAAAGCCTTGCTTTGGACTGCAAAACTCTATTTTTAGAGATGCATTATTAGTTTAACTGGTGTAGTGCTTTTACATAGGATTAGAAAAGAATTATGTAAAGCTACTGACAGTCAAATACTATCAAATTCCTAGAAGAGAGACCCAAAGACACCAAAAAGTTACGACTGACCTTGTTTTTATTTAGGAGCACGTCAAGTTTTGTTTTTGTTTTTTTTTTATACCAGAGCTTTGGTTGACTGGAATGATATGCACACTTACATTTTAACAGAATTAAAAAAAAGAAACAGTAAACATTAACATATACATTCTGTTATGTGCAAGAAATAGGGTCCACATTACATGTTTATGATACAAGAAATTAACTGGTTTGAGCATACAACTGTGAACACTTCAGGTTTTTGGTATCATTTAATCTGCACTTAATAGAACAATTTTTAGAAGTCATTTCACTTGCGACCCACTTAAATCTGTACAGACTTTGTGGCAAGATCACAATGTATTCAAAATTGCTGGTAAGTGTTAAGAGCTTTCTTTTCCTTAAAAACATTTTTTTGAAACAATATGTCTTGCCATTTAAAGTAGAAAAATATCAATTTTAATGCAGGTTATAAAGCCATTATTAATAATTCAGCCAACTGAACATATGGGCAAAATGCTGCACTAATTTGGGACATTTATGAATATTTAAAAATTCTTCATGCCACATATGAAATGAAAACTGGCTGAGCCTGGATGATTACTTCATAGAGCCCAACTCCACAGTTTGAGTCCTGCTGACAGAGTGAAAGTGATATGAACAAAACAGAACATGCTAAAACCAGTGTATTCAGTGTAACTTTCTCAAGTTAAACTTTTAGTTCCAGGAGTATTGCCGTTTCTCTCCTTAGTCTGAAACAGTGGTAATAGAACCACCGCATAATGATGGGGTAGTAAGTTATCCTAGAAACTGTAAATAATCAGGCCGTGTGTAACCATACTTCCTTTTAAAGAAAACTGCTTTTTCTTTTATTTTTTTTATGTCAGCAATTTGTTAGTAACTTTTTACAAACCTATGATAAGACAAATAAAGCCATCTTTTTTAGTAAACAAAAATTCTTAGGATAAGAAAATAGATAAAATGATTCTTTTTTCTGTCAGAGGATATACAGGTATATACTCATATATAGGCACGTACTAAACCACAAAAGAAAAAAGTATATTTGAATGTTACAGGTCTGATGTAAAACACAGAACACAGCAAGGAGATTCAAACTGAAAAGACAGCGACTTCATTCACCCCATTGTTCCTAGTTATTTCAGCATATATGATACAAAATCATTCAAATGCCAAAAGCACCTGTTTTACCTCAAACAGGCAAAGTGATTTCTTTGGAATTGTATTTAAATAAAAATTGCTCCTGGCCAAGATCACGTATGTCAAATTTCAACCCAAGACAAAAAAGTTCACAGCTAGATTATAACCCCTTAAAATAGGAGTTCAGAATGATAGACAACTCTTCATTACAGTGACTCTAACAGAGCCACTATAATACAGACCACTGGGATGGAATTTCTTGTCTGTTTATACTTTATACACATATACAGTAAACTAAGACACTGAAAAGGCAGCTTAAAAGGTGTGCAATTCGTTCAACTGCTGAGCAAATCTCTTTGCCATAAATATTTTAGAAAATGAGAAGAGACTTTTTACTTGAATATATACAAAGTGTGCACTAGTTACGAGTCTTTAATTTACATACAGGCAAGTGCACTGAGACAGACACTAACATGAATGGCTTTTGAAAGCTAGGTCACAATTAAATTAGCTTTTCTATCACTGAATGTACACTGACGGAGATTTTTAAAAGGAAGTTTTGTCTGCCGTGCTTCATTTCTTCTTAGGAAGGGTTGCATTAGCATGTTTTGCATCATCATGGGGGCTTTCTTCATGAGATGTTTTAACTTTAGACACACAACTGGAGGTCCCACTGGTAGCTACACAGAAGCAAACAAGGAAAAAAAAATCCCTCCTGATTAAATGGATCTTTGTTTTGCGTGGTGTTGCAACTGATATCAAGACTGATGCAAAAGGAACTGAAGTATCCCAATATAGTCATTAAATAACTCAAGTTAAATAAGTTACTTTTGAAAAGTTGAGAATCAAAATTACACCTGCATTTATAGTGAGAAATTCACACTACTGAAATTCACTACTTTGTATTACAGAAAAAAAAAACTCCCCATCACTAGTAACTTTATGTGGCTTCCCAAAATTACTGAAAAGTTGGCCAAATAGCAAAGGGTCACATTTTTATAAAACAGAAATACCCCAACTGATCTGAAAGCTACTGAAAGCAGATAGTTCTCCAGAGTTATCTGGAGGTCAAAGCCAGTAAAGAAAAAGATTATAAGTTTGAGAACTTGTAAAAGAAAAGGGCTTTTCCATTTGCACATGCTCTTCTTCTAAACAGTTCATTTGTAAATAGATTTGCATGTACTTAGCCAAATAACTTGAATATGCTACAGAAAAGTTTCTGGTACAAAACAAAGGATAGGTAAGAGTTTAAATTTGGTATTTCTTTTTTAAAAAGAAGAAAAAAAGTAAAATGTAAATATGTGACAATTTTTTCAACCTTTTATTACATGTAACGACTTAACTTATTACATTCTGTTCAGACAAAGAGAAAAGCAGCTTGGATTCATGCACTGTTCTACAGGCCTTGTGGTAAATAAATTTCAACTTAAAGCTCAAATATTGGACCTCATAAGGAGTTTTATATAGTATTTTCAGAGATGTTTTAGCTGTTTCAGTGCTAAAACACTCAGCTTCCTTTCAAGCAAGAAGCAAAAATAGTCTGCAAATAATTAGAGGGAACAGAAAATGAAAACTTAAAAATACCTTAAATCTAAGGAATGCAGATACAAACAGAAAACAGACTGCAATAGGTAGTGAGAAACAAAAAACAAGATAACATCCTGAAAAACAAGATACCTTATGTTTTCTAAAATAATAAGGTATATTATGGGGGAGGCAATGGGAACCAAAATAATCAATTCCACGGTGTTAAATAAGGACAGAAAAGTCTGAGGACACTTCCACTAGGGAATTCTGTAAGAGATACCACATTTACCTAAATCCAAGACAACTTCAAATTTAAGTTGACCACCCCCCCAGTAATTAGTCTAGACATGGAAAATTTATAAATTTGTTATAATTTTTTCCTGTATGGAATCTAACTATTGGAAGGGTCTCTTAAATTCATTCCCCACCACTGCTCCAGGAGGGTAGGTGGTAGGAGAGAATCAAGTGGCTTGACCTCTACCCCTTGTCCGCTGCCACTTGCACCCCTACTACTTGCCTCCTCTTTGCCTAGCCCCCGCTAGTCCCTGACCCTCCCTGCAGTGCCCACCCTGCTGTACCTACTCCCTACCACTTCCACCACATTCACTGCTGCCTCTGGACCACTAGCCTCCCACTGTTTACCCTCCATGGCTCTGGTTCAGGCTCCTGCCCAGAGAATGGAGCACATGGTGGTTCCAGTCCTAGCTCTGCCATGCAGCAGCAGCTGCAGTGGCAGCTCATCCAGGACTAGAGTTGCCTGCACTGCCATTGCTGCTGCATGGCTGGGTGAGAGCTGGAGTGATCATGTGCTCTGCGCCCCAAGCCAGAGCAGGGCCAGAGCCCAAGCCATGGAGGACAACTGCTGGTGGCGGGTGAGGGGTGTTGCAAAGGGCAAGTGACAAGAGGAGCTGCAGCAACTACCTGCCCCCAACTCCAACCCCAGGTCAGGACTGGACCTGGAACTGCAGCAGCCACCTGGCCCCTCCCCTGTACTTGAATTGGAGGGGTTTCCCCACCCCTGTTATAATGGGATAAAATGTTTTGGATCAAGCATATACAGTAAGTCAAAGTTTAGCAGCAGTCTTTTTTATAAATACATAAAGAGAAGATCATTCTGCTTCTCTTGAAAACTCTTGGACAGACAAAGTTGGAAACTCTTTCAGATGGTCACAACTTGAACACCCCAAGGCTGAGTATCTACATCATTCAAACATCTAATCAGATAGTTATTTAAATAGCTCTCTTGAAGACAGGAGAACAAGAGTCAAGGCTGGAGAGAATTAAAGAAAGATGAATTTTGAAAGGATTTCAATCTGTTCTAAAAGAAAAAAAAATACAATTCTGGATTGGGAGAAGGGTTGCATTTTCTTTACGATAGACCAGGACTTGTGGAAAGAATGATACCACAAGAATGTCTGTATGGACAACTATAAAAATGTTTAAGGTAGAATGAACCACTGTCTTTAAAAAAGCAGTACGATATGCATCCATACCATATTGTATTTGTACAATTTGCTTGTAAAATGTCACCACAATCTAAGCCTAACTCTACTACATTAAGTTTATCATTAGGAAAAATGGCTTCACTTGCAAAAAACCTGAGATCAGACTTATGGTTCAACTAAAGAGATCAAACTAATATATTATAACAGGTCTCATGGACTTTATGAGGGACAGAGAAAACAGTCAAGATCCAGAAATGGTTTACTTGATAGTTGTACCAAAGTATTTATTACATATACCTTTCCCCAAAAATTGAGTACATCTGATTTAATTGGTTAAAAAAAGAAACATTCCATTTAAATCAATATTACCTGTTAAATCTATGTGTAGTGCAAAGTGAGAAACTAAAGCTGATAAGCCCTCTAGAAGGAGGGAGACACTCCTAAGACAATAGAGCTATCATAAGCCATATCTATTAGTAGCTTGGAGAATGGCAAAGTATATTCCTTTAGGAAATGAAAACTAGTGGTTAAACCAGATGCACTCAACTTTGCCAGCTACGATCTCTTCAGAAGGTATAGGATGAGTGTAATCACACTTCCTAAACGTTGATAGGATGTTTTGTATAGAGAAGTGAGAGGGAAAGAAAAATATGCAATCCAGTTTGTGGTGCCTGATGCTGTGGTGAGTGGTACTATGGATAATGAAGCTCAGCTCTGACAGACTGAGATACTTGAGAAAAGGCACAAGGCATATAATATTAAGACAAGCTTCAAGATTAACGGTGCTCTAATACAAACACCTGAACCTGGCAAGGTTTCTAAGAATGCAACTACATTCACAAATCCCTCAAATAGCTCAGATATCTAGAAGAGGACAATATAAACTGGCTCAAAGATGACTTTATGCCTGGCAGATGTTATACTTAAGATCCAATTACCCTGTTAATCACACTGTAGATAGTATACATTAACATGCGGAATTAATGGCATAACAAAACAGGAAACCAGCCACAAAAATACTACCCATCTCATTCTGGAATATTTTTGTGGCTGGTCTCCATCGTACCTTAAATTGAACATGTGGCAGAACAGCAACAAACTGGAGGCAGTCCTAGGCTCCTGAGCGGTGCTGGAGCTGTAACGGACAATCAGCTAATTGTCTGGCCCAGGCCCAGGACTGCACCAGAGCTGGTTCTAGACTTCAGTGCCATCCCAAGCCTTGGGACCTGACAAGCAACTGACTGTTGGTTCCAGCCTGGGAGCACACTGGAGCCATTCCAAGACTGGTGTGGGACAGATGATCCCTCGGCCCAGGGCCAGACTGCAGGCTCTGGCTTTCAACTCATCTATACAGGGAGAGCTTGGGACCTTGATCCTGGGCTCCCTCTGAATGGAAAGTAGTAACGATGCCATTACGATCTGACTCCTGATCCCAAAATCATGTGTCCTGCTATGCACACATGACATGGCAGGAGGCAGAATTTTTCGGATCAAGGATCAGACTCCATTGCACCATAGATCCAGGAAACTACAGACCAGTCAGCCTCATCTCAGTGAAAAATCATGGAGTAGGTCCTCAAAGAATCCATTTACAAGCACTTAGACGAGAAAGTGATTAGGAATAGTCAGCATGGATTCACCAAGGGCAAGTCAGGCATGACCAACCTGATTGCCTTCTATGATGAGATAACTGGCTCTATGCATGCAGGGAAAGCAGTGGACACAATATACTTTGACTTTAGCAAGGTTTCTGATACCGTCTCTCACAGCATTCTTGTAAGCAAGCTGAGGAAGTATGGGTTGGATGAATGGACTGTTAGGCTCAACGGGTAGTAATCAACGGCTCAATGTCTAGCTGGCAGCCAGTATGGAGTGGAGTGCCCCAGGGGTCAGTCCTGGGGCTGGTTTTGTTCAATATCATCATTAGTGATATGGAAGATGAGATAGATTGCAAGATGACACCAAACTGGGGGGGGTGTAGTAGACGCACTGGAGGGCAGGGCTAGGATTCAGAGTGACCTAGAGAAATCAGATTGGGCCAAAAGAAATCTCATGCGGTTCAACAAGGACAAATGCAAAGTCCTGCACTGAGGACAGAAGAATCCCATGCACCGCTACACCTGGGGACCTACTGGCTAAGCAGCAGCTCTGCAGAAAATGACTTGGGGGTTAGAGTAGACAATAGATGGATATGAGTCAGCAGCGTGCCCTTGTTGCCAAGAAGGCTAACAGCATACTGGGCTAAATTAGTAGTAGCACTGCCAGCACATAGAGGGAAGTAATTATTCCATTCTATTCTGCATTGGTGAGGTCACATCTGGAGTACTGTGTCCAGCTTTGGGGCCCCCCACTATAGAAAGTATTTAGACAAGTAGGAGGGAGTACAGCGGAGAGCAACAAAAATGGTTTGGGGGATGGGGTACATGACTTATGAGGAGAGGCTAAGGAAACTGGGTTTATTTAGTTTGGAGAAGAGAAGACAGAGGGGATTTGATAGCAGATCTTCAACTACTTGAAGGGTGGTTCCCAAGAGTGTGGAGCTAGACTGTTCTCAGTGGTGACAGATGACAGAATATGGAGCAGTCATCTCAAGTTGCAGCAAGGGAGGTTTAGGTTGGATATTAGGAAAGATTCTCTCACTAGGAGGGTGGTGAAGCACTGGACCAAGTTACCCAGATTGGTGGTAGAATCTCTATCCTTGGGGGTTTTTAAGGTCCGGCTTGACAAAGCCCAGGCTGGAATGATTTAGTTGGGGATGGTCCTGGTTTGAGCAACGGGTTGGACTAGATGACCTCCTAAGGTCCCTTCCAACCCTTATTTTCTATGAGTCTATGATTTAATATGTTTATGGGTCTTGAGCGGTTGCCATGCCATCAGCTGCTTTACAGCAGGGGTATTCAACACCGGCCCACAAGCCAGACCTGCAGCCATAGCTCTGTGTGCTAGGTCAGGTCAGGCATGCATGGTAGTATGAGGCCTGATCCCCAATGCACAGAGGTGGTACAGGACCTCGTAAGCCTGCATGTGGGAACGGGATCTGATCCTAGCATGCAGGGTCCAATCTGACTCGCACAACCAAAAGGTTGAGTGTCTGTGCTCTAGACACTGCATTAAAAACTTCAATGGGAAAAATTGTGTTGCTTTTACAAATGATTTTTAGAGAAACTTCCTTTTTTAAAATTATTTAGCTTTTCGCTAAATGCTACTGAACAGACGTAGATGTGGAGATACAGGGAGAGCTAGGACCAACTATACATGACCAGGGAGGCTGCTCTGACGCACTGGAATTCCAGCACATCACCCAATGCATTGGAGCAGCATCGATTAATCAAGTCTGCTGAAGTGTGGCAATTACTGCACTCCAGCAGCTTCCTACATCTCCTGCATCAGCATCTCCATGCTTCAAAATGTCATTCGATGAGCTTTAGATTAAGTGCCCCGCTACCATTTTGAAGCACGGGGATGCTAATTCAGTGTACTACATATATACATTGCAAGTATATAATTGCTAAGACAAAATTTTAAGAAACTGTCTGTATTCTACCTGATTGTGAGGTACAGCATCACAGTAACATTTCCTGTTTGTATATATTCACTTTTACCTCAATAACTCCTTCAGACAAAGCAGACAAATATTTCATTTGCTCCACTAACTCAGAAGCAGGGGAAAGGTATTCTGAAACTGTTCAGAAATGTATTTCTTTTGCTAAGGTCAGGTACATGAACTTTCTAGCCAATTCAATAATCTCAAAAACTTCTAAGAGCAACAGAAGGGTTTTGGTACTGATGTATTATTTGTAAAAGTAATTTATACAATACCATAATTACCCTTTTTGTGACCATCCCCTACATGGATAGGGGTTCTATTTCATAATATTCTTTGTGAAACTGTTCAGCACACCAATGGCAAGCTTATCTATTCTGGAAAATGTTTAAGTGAAAATGAGTTACTGTGCCGCTGTGACAGAAGTTACTTACATGAGGTTGTTTTTTCTTTTGTTAGCTTTTCAGGCAAGTTTGTAAGTGGTGTTGGCTGGATTTTTGCAGGCGTGTATGTATTTAAAGAGATTCTTCTTCCTGACAATGGACTTGTATATGTTGGAGATGCTGAAAGAAGACAAACATCCCTTTTATATTGTGAACAATACATCTGTCCAGTATTTGTGCATTAACAAAACAACAGTAAATAAGAAACAACACATCTGTGAATATTATGAATTCCATAATTACAGAATCAGTAACCCTACCAGTGATTTTTGTATCAAGATTTCAAATATGGAAATAATGAAGAAAATCTACCGTAACTACCTATGAAAGTAATGCAAGAGCTTCACAGAGCCCAAAATAAGTTAAGAATCAGTGACCGATGTCTCACCAGAAGAAGTCTGGCAACATAAGTACTAATACTGACTTCTGACATGGCACAAAATACTGCTAGGAATGCCAGTTGGTTTGAGAAGTCTACAATATGAGTATACCGCAGAATGAAGAGGCATAGCTAGCAGCTAAGTGGACTGCAACTGTGGGAGGAGGATGAGGACAAAAACATTCAGACAAGCAGCCTCTCCAGGAGGTGCAAAACCAGAAAAAAAAAATCTTTCTATTGACTAAAGTTCACATTAAAACATGGAAAGTCCACATAAGGAAGAGGCTAGTCCAAAAATATATATAAAAATCATTAATAAATTCTTAGTAAGTTATACCCATGGCCTGTTGCAAATGACTTCTGTCAACTATGCACAATAATGATGAATGGTTTAAAGTAATAAAAATTGAATTACAACTATGAGCAGTGGATGTGTCTGGTAGATTGTCACTTGAAGGAGCAGCAATGGAGGCAAGAAATTCATCCACCTGCTTTAAAGAAAGGGAGTTGTGTAGGGTTTCCAGAGGGCAGATGGAAGGCACCATGGAATAGAGTTCAAAACCTGCAAAAAAAATAAAAATAAAAAGACGTTTCCAGGCATAAGACTTGAGTGCAATTTTTTACAAGCAAGAGACATGGTATAAAATGAATTATCCAGTATCAACACATGCAAACATACAATATTCTTGAAATCATGGTATCAGTGCTCTGTAAGATTGAGTTGGAACAAATTCCAGCACATACTAGGCTCAAGATACTGTATATAACATTCGACAAAACTCAAGTACAGATAAATCAGGCTAAACAAGATGAAGAGATATCTTTGTTCTAATCCTATGACACTTCATGAAAATTACTTAATAGGACAAAGTAAACCATTAAAAAGACATGGAAATGCCAATATTTTGTTTACTCATTCCCACACCAATCATAGCACTAAACAAGAACTCATTCAAGCAGACGTAGAAATCTAGCCAGGTCATGTAGACTTTTTTTTTTTTTTTTTAAACTGGGACACTGCCAGAGAACAGCTAAAAATATTGGTAGGCCCAAGAGGAAGGAGCCTGCAGAATTCAACCTCCATCCCCTTGGGGTATTCTTGCCACAAGACTGCTGCCTTAACTTACCAAACGAAGGTTCAGCAAAATCAATTAATATGTACCTTGAATTTATCTTAATTTTACAACACAGATTCACACCTACCTTTATTAATTTAAAACCCACAATTCACATATTACTGGAAATTTCAAAGCTAACAGTTAATCTAAACCAAATAAAAAGTAGAGGGAGATATCCAACTTTGTATTCCAACATTAGTACAAACATACTGACATTTCATAAGCCAACCATGCATATTTCTATTACAATGAAACAAGAAGCATTTAACACACACATATGCTTAATACTGCAGTTTTATAAACAGATGTAAGTTTGATAGCTCTCAATGAAAACCTGCATCCAAAAAGCGTTTTGAAGGGAAAAATTTGTCCACATTAGCATTTCCATATACAGCTGCAACATTATAATTTTGCAGTTCAATGCTATAAATTGCTACATTTCTTCCAAGATGTCTATTTAAATGAAAAGACAATACTTAATGAAAGAATGTTTAAAGTTTCAGTTCAAGGTACATTTTTCAAAGATATCAATATAGTGTAAACTTCCTTTCTTCAAAAATATTACTAAGCATTTACACACCTCCGATACCCAGCTTGTCTTCATTTAGTAGTTTACATAAAATAATAATTCTAGGTAATTTAACACAAGAACTTCTGAATTCATATTTGGACCCACCCCGACCACTCTTGGATTAATGTGAGATCCAATCCTGTTAATGAGATCCAATCTAAATAGCTGAAATTTACTTAATCAGCTCCACTTATACAACAGCTATAAAGTTGCATTTCATGGAAGCTCAGTTTTCATGTGCAAAAGAAACCACTGCATACCTTTGTGTATACCTTTTTATTAGGATAGCAGTTAAGCTTCAGTGTAAGCACTAAAATAAATATTTGGCATAAATGTTAAGATTCTTTAAAAATAAATAAATAAATAAATAAAAAAGCATACATGCAAAGTGTAAACCCTTTCTTTGCATTACAGTAAACTTTCATAAGACTTTTCAGATTAGCCTGACAGAAATATTACTACTTTTTGAAAAAAAATTTGCTTTAAGAAACATTTTCATTTCAATCTAACAGTTTGGTAGATGACATCAGTGTCTATACCTACATTATAGAGACCTATTATTAATTCTACAGCATGGTAAGAAAAGATCTCCCAAAGAAATTAAAACATTATTATTGTTGTTAGGAATAATTAACTATTTATGTTCACTTAAAAAAAATTCCTGCTATGCATACTATGAAAAAACCCCCAAACTAGTCTTGCTTGATAGCAAAATTGTCAAAAAAAGAGAAACTGTAAATAGATTCCATGAGCTAAGACAACGCAGTAAAATAATAATTTTAACAGCAATGGTTTGTTAGTCTATCTGGCAAGAAAACCTATATGCAACTAACTTTTTAGGAAGCTATATTAAAAAAAGAGACTATTTTTTTTTTTTTTTTTACTAAAAAAATCTGTCAGTACCTCTTTAAATAATGTAATTTTCTGCAAATGTTAACTTTCCTTAAGTTTTTGGTGCATTCACTCTTAGTAAGCAATAGCCCCCTTTCAGAATGCAAGACAATGAAAGGGTTAACACAACAATTTAGAAAGCCACCCTGCTGCCTTACATTTAAAAGACTATAGAGACATACCACTGGAGCTTAGAAATTCCACAGAGGAAGTGGACCAGCACCTAAAGAGGTGTGGATGTTCTGCATAGAGGTCCAGAAAATAAAGCACTGTGAGAAGATACTTCATCATGTTCCTTGAACTAAAAATGAAAGGGTGGGGGCAAGTCTGTGAAATGGGTTAGAAGTTGCAACATCACAAAGTTATGGAAATAAAGAGTGAGAAGGAGAATCAAATGACAGTCCAGAGGACAGACAAGACAACATCAATATAGTTGGTAAAGAAACTTGGAAACCTGGAATAAATTTAAACTTCAGAGATGCACATACAGCATGCATTAATTTGTGAAAGATGTGTGGAAAAGCGCTTTTATGAAATGAATCACAGCTATCTTAAGGTGCGCATTAAATTGATTTTATTTACTTTTTTATTTTATTTTTTAATGAAAACCTACCCAGCCACGATAACAGTTCCAAAGGGAACAGAGCATAATAAAGAAGTATTTAAAGCTATGGTAAACAGATGCTGTCTCAAACCTAGCGCTCATCTTTTCCACTTTCACCTCTTTTGCTATAACTGAGTTTTAAATTAAGCACTTGCTATGTTGTTTAGATTGTGATTTATTTTATAAAGAGTAATGCCTATTTTTTTCGTTTTCAAGAGAATATTAATCTCTGCATTTTAACTTGTATAAATTACAGGCTTAAAGGCAAACCTTCCAGTCTAGTACTAAACCAGTAATGTGTGTCAGGAGGCAACTATAGTGCTGAACTTTACTAAATACTCCTAGTTGATAAAACGGTTAAAGTATAGCTCATGATTTAATTCTTCAGAAGGAAAACAAATTGAGAATCACATATTTTGTTCTTACCTAGGCTTTAAGTAACAAGACTTCTGTAGTCTAAAAGCACAATGGCTGCTTTCACTTCATTTCCATAAGACCTTATTAGCCTGTCACTGTACTGGTTGCGCAGTTTTGGAATCCTAAGAAATCTTGAAAAACTAAATTAAGATTTAGTAAATGCTGAAGACTTGAGCCTAATTTCAGTGAACAGGGTAGTTATAGGACCAATTTATTGAGGTAGAAAGGTATGCCCAAAATATCTCACAGATGGAGAGAAAAATATACCTCTATCTTCAACTTTTCATGGGTTAAACTAGACATCATTAAAATATGCTATTCTTGGGATGAGTTAAAATTCTCATCCCTGAAGTTCAAGAGGTCAATGCAAGAGGTAAGCAACTCTCATACTGTGATTATTAGATGAACAGAGAGACTCAATAAGCCTAGAAAGGTTAAGTGGCATTTTTTTCAATCATTTTGCAGATTAACAGAAATGGATCCAAAAAGCTCTCACTTTTCTTTTACTTTTTAATCTAGAGTCACTTCAAGAAGATGGCTGCAACCTCCTGCTGTCAATTAGCATGATTTACTCTAGAAACAGAAGCCTCAGATCTCAAATCAGAGGAAGAGGAAGAAGAAGAATGTTAAGGTACTGAGAAATTTAAGACCAGAAAAGCCTCAGTATTTATTCACATACTATACAGGACCGGATTACTTGAGAAATTGGGAAGCAAGTGTAATTTGTAATGGATATCGTGATTAAAAGCAATAATTCCATTTTTCAAAAGATTTTCTGATAAGTGAATTTTGAAATTATGGTTATATAAAGTGAATAGCGAAGATGGGATTTGAGACTATCAGCATATCTACTGATTATATTTGGCACTACACTTCTTTGAAGTCTGCAAAGACAGATGGTTGGACAATAGTGTGCAACCGTGTTCAAAATAAAAATAGGAATAAGGGATGAAGCAAGGGAGTATTTCTTTTTTAAAACAAAAGCAAAACGTACCATTGGTTGGGTGTCGAGCAAATGAGATAGAAAATCTTTTAACAGCAGAACCGCGTGTGGTTTCTGAGAAAGAGAAAAACAGGTACCTGAAATTTATAACAGCTACCAAAAGAAGGACATTTCAAAAAAGGAAAGAAAGGAAAAAAACCCCCAAAAAACCCACGATGAGAAGGTTAGAAGTGAATGGCATGCAAAAGGGACTAGGGAGAAAGGACCATAGGTCAAATATAGGTTAAAAAGGAGAAAAGGCTTGGTTGTCAATAACTGCAAGATGTTTAATGAAGTACATGGAAAAAAAGCAGGATGAGCTAGTGATTGTGGCATACAAAGTTATATCTAGTTAGAATCAGACACTGAGAAGAGTGATTTTGGGGGGCGCTGGGAAGGTGAAAAAACCAAACCAAACCCTATTAATACTGCTTGACCTCAGTGTTAACAGGGTAAACAGTATAAACTAACACGTCACCTGTATATTCTGAAGTCTGCTGTGAAAACCTGAACTCCACCCAGATTATCGAAAACCTGTAACCTACTATTCTTCTGGCGAATAAGAGTGAGGAATCCTAAAATTTTCACCCTCAGTATTTTTAAAATGAAGTGCAATTTTCATTGGTTCCTTGTAAATGCTCCATGCAATACATTTCAGTTCAAGGTCAAAGAATTACTAGATATCAGGTTTAATGATTAAAGAGCATTTCCAACTGAATTTTTTGTTTTTAATTTCTCTTTAATATATGCATATCCTGAAATATCTCAATGTCTGTTATACATATGTGAACTTGTGAAAATAAAACGATGAGCATATCATGAAAGACACGAACAAGGATTTACAGTGCCATTGAACTGAACCAAAAAAAAATTTTTTTAACTGAATTACGGGCAAGGAGGCAGCAACAGAAATTCATACAACTAAATACTAAGGCAAAGGATTCTAGGATTCCATTAAATCAGCAGCCTAAGGCTTGTCTTTAGAGGTTTAATGTGTGCACATGGGTTTGTGCGTGCATGTGCGAGAGTGTGCACATACCATCTATGAAGCCAGAAGAAGTCAGCTTTTTACGATGAGTACGAGCATAATCCTGTAGGTTAGGTGCGCTTGAAGAACCCCCGAGCACTGAGGTGCTAAACAGGCCCGCACAGTGAGACCCTGATGGGAGTTAGAGAAAATACATACAACAACCAGGTGTTCTTCCATTCACATTGGGGATGCATGCAGCATGCAAGCACATGGCTCTTACCACACAAAAGGCAGCCTTTAGCAGTGCCTTGGACAGGTTCACAATATGCTTGTAATGTCAGACTTGTAGGCTGTAACTATCATAATTTACTTTGCTTCTACACGTCACAGCACCCTCTGCTACATATGCAAACAGAGGACCGGACTTTAACAAAGGGACTTCATTTCCTGTTGTCAGTTTTGGTAAAGAAAAATTACTAGTTAGCATCAACAATATACAAAAAATAACAAACAAAAGACACAAAAGTTACGGGTTGTAGACCCTGCAGATCTGAAACAAAATCTGGCAAATATGATTATTGCCGTTATTGAAATTAAATCTCTAAGACAGCAGGTGACAACTTTACACACTCATACATTTCCTTAGACTTAACATAGAAAACTTCTACTTCCCATCACTCACGAATTGACGTGAAACAAGATAACTAAAGCTGACATACAGGCATAAGTACTTTAGCTATTATCACAGCAAATTCTAAACTTGGAAATAAAAATTTAGCTAAGTTTAGCTTCACTTCTTTCCTCGAGATACATCTTTGTATTAGTAGTGTATGTATACTTCTGTTATCAAATCAAAAATTATCTCGTCATTAAAAGGGACTTATAACAAATTGTCTGGGAAAAAAAAAAGCATAATTAAGTACAAAAACATGAAAAATATTTGATTTTTATTACCCACCATAATAAAAATCTCACCTCAATGAATAAAACGGGAAAACTGCTATTTAAAATTTTAACTTTCTTTAACCTCTACTACTACTACCACTACTCCTCTGTGAAGGAAATGCTATTACTTGGAGGCCTAGTTCTGACTTACCAATGTTTTTCTATGCATAGCGGTAGATTTAAGAGAGTCATTTCATTAAGTAACTCATTTCCCTCACAAGTTACAGTAACCCTAAGTCAGGGAGCATTACTAGCACATGTGACCGACCACAACCAATATAAATTTGGTGCCTGGTCTGTGGCAAAAGCCTTTAACACCAAAACAGAATACCTTGAGCTATGCACACAATATATCAGTTTCAACAAACCATATTGTGTCACATTGAAAAAGAAAAGGACATTTAATTTTAGCCACCATGTTGGAAAAATTTACTTCAGTAATCAAGACCACCTGATGTATGCATTTTACTATGAAAATAAGATGCAAGAGAATCGCAGAGACAGAAATACAAAAGAGAACAGTTTCTTAAAATGGAGAGATAGTAGGTCTTATAATTCAATGCACTGAACGTGTGTGTGTGCTGTTTAATGTGTAACAAGTTATTTCACAAAACAGATAATTGTTTGCATTTATATAAATATACACAACATTAACTTATAACACTACAAGATTTAATATATGTAATGCATATCAAACAAAATAATGTCTGTTCCATAGCAATAGCAGGAAAATATTACTTGAATTAAAGTAATTTAACAGTATGTTATAATAAACCACACAGTTACAATGATTAAATTTGTACACTGAAAGAAAGTTGGGAGGAGAGGGGAGCGCAAAAAACTTCAGTCTCATTAAGTACTGAAGTTTCTTGGTAAAGGACAAAGCACAGCAGTGGGGCAGGTTTTGTTTGTTTGAGGGGGAGGTTTCCATCCAGGAGAATTATCTTCAATTTGTCTCTATTGCCCATAGCAGGGAACACACATTGCATCTTGAGAGTTTTACCAGGTTCTATACTATGGGCACTTAACATCTCTACAGAATTTTTTGGAATCAAGGTCATGAACTACAAATTACTTCAAAATAAAACCGAGAGGAGTACTAGGTCAGAGTAAAGTGTCAGTGTGAAGTCTCACCTGTTTTGTTCTTTTTTCATAAAAGATAGAGTTTTCATAAAAGAAATTGTTACCAAAATATTACCAAACTCAGTGGGTTCATACAGTCTCAATGAGTTACCAGGTATCATTACATTAAAAATACAGCTATTTGCTTCTGTATTTATGAAAATAAGCTTTTAAAATTCCAAGATGGCATAACTGCATGCTAAACTACAGATGCTGTAAAGTAAGTATATGAGACAAAATTTCAATTGTATGCACATACCTAGACCACTCTGTTTTTGTTCCAGAATAGTTCTTGGTGTTCGTAAGCTACTACTGGTTTCCGATAGGACCTGGATATAGAAAATAGAAAAATAAGGAAAAAGAGAATAGCAACATGTAGTGTCCATTAAACTTGATACAGCAGCCTGTTCCAGACAGACAAGTGTTAATAAGCCGTATGACATATGTTAGTAGAAATACATAAAAAGTATGAAAAATCATGCAATATCCCTTTCTGAAGGGAGTCCATTTCACATATGAGATCCTTGCAATGAGGGGGTGCAAAGCAGGCATTCAGAATGAAAAAGGACAGACCAGGACAAAGATGAGAACATATACAGTTGAGACAGACTTATTTTATTTTACCAAATGCACTCTCCTAAACTGCGCCTGTATTGGAAAAGGAAGGGGAGGGAAGGAAAGACAGGCTATTGAGGACACCATACAGTCACTGATCCATGCACGGGCTCTATTAGTGTAACCTTCAGATGTTCACAGCTTTTACTGACGTATATATACTTTTTCCTATACACAAGTTGCTTAAATTTCCAAAACCAAATGGAAATTGCTGAAACTCTTAGAAAAGAAAGGGGCATGATTAACAGAACACCATCCATTATCCTATATGCAAACAATATTTTGAATTATTAAGCAAGCTTTAGACCTTCATTGATATTTGAACTAATAATCATTTTATATGAATCATTTGTCCTATTTTCCCAATATTGGGGAGGTGGGGGAATAAGACTTCAAAATATTGTAAAATGTAATGGATGAAGTACTGTTTTTATTTTTTTTAAATTAGATACCTCCAGATACAGGAGTGAAGGCAAGAAAAATGAGTGCTAGAGTTTGTTTCCTGCACAGTTAATACCAGGCCACTGAAAATATGATATATGCAAAACAAATTTTGAACAGCAATCTCAAACCCCAAATAAATTATTTTAATGGCATTGTTTGTCATTTCTGAAAAGTGTTTTAAATTTACCTACCACCAAATTAAGCAATGCTGTTTTTAAAGTCTTAAAGGACAACTAAACCAAAGCAAAAGTCTGTTTCATTCAGCAGTAAGCTATGCCTTTTCTACAGCGTTAATGTTTATAATCCCTATGAAAAGAAACAAATTCATTCTGGAAATATCTAACACATTCAGTGAAAAAAAACCATGCACTTGCTTTTTCCCCCCCCCAGACATTCTTGGAAGTAACTAGCATTTTAAAAGGTGGAAGAATTTACTTTGAACGTAATCCATGATAAGGGATTAGATGTCCTTAAAGACAGTTGGCTGTTGCTTGGAATGCATAATAATGTTTAATGAAGTAAAGTTTAAAAACCTGTTGCCATGAGCCAAAAATACTGGATGTGAAAGCCAATGATTTAGGGGAGACAGGGGAAGAAGTGATTTGTTCCCCTGATCTGCGTCTTCGACGCCCAGTACCCACACCACTGGTGTAATGCAGCCAGGTACCAATACCCTCTGGGCTAGACACACTCAGGGGGCTCTCTTCCTGGAAGTGAGAAAGGGGGCAAAAAACAGCAAAGCATGCAAAGTTAGATTCAACAGAGCCAAATGAACAGAAAAGAAAAAAAAAAAAAAAACCAAAAAAACCCCAAACAAAAATCCAGTTTTTTTGCACCCTTTTACATACAACTAAGACTATTAAACAGTAATTAGGAGCGACTAACATGACAAATTATTCTTAAAAACATAATCAATTAGGTCTTCTAAACCATTAATTTTACCAAATTTCTGGCAGACAAATTTCTTCAATGCAAAATAAATCTTTTCCTCTAGCTTTAAAATGCATTGGAAATGGAACAAATTTGTTATTCCATATATACTGTTTAATAGTTATATCTAAGTATATTAAACTTTCCTATTTGTTATTTAATAGATATTTCCCCTTGCCCATTATACTACGTTAATTTTGAAATTTCAAAAGATTTGGAATTACACTGGAGAGTCAATCACAGTAGTGGTTGCAGCAAAGATGTCTCAACCTTAAAACACTTAGGAACTTCAGATGTTGAAAAGGTAAGAAATTTTAAGGGACAATGTCAGGGTAAAAATGCTAAATTCCTCTACTTGTGTTGATATCACCACAAAGTAATACCAGTGCATATTTTTATCAACATAAAGTTTGATTTTCACCATTTAAGTTTTGTTTTTCTCATTTTACTTTCAGAGCAAAGAAAGCTGACACTAGTCAGCTTAATTTCTGGTCATTGTGTGCTTGTAAACACAGCTAAAGTATGTGTTGAACACTGTTAGGGAAAAATCATCCAGATTAAAAAGTTTAATTAAAGATCCAATGTTCACTGGAAGTTATATAGATTAAATAAAAATATATATGGATTAAATAAATATATACATATAGGCTAAGCCTAAACAATCTGGCAGTGTCCCCTTAAATGAATGAACCATAGCAGAAAGTGAAGTCCAAGGCAGTGTAGTTTAAGATGACATCATATTATAGTTGTTTAGCCTTAAAATCCACCATTCCTAAATCTTCCAAAGACTGGTTTGCAGATTTCAGTGTGCTGTATAAATCTGTGCACAAACAGATACATAAAAGTGGAAAGATCTAAAATTTCATAAGTGATAGTTATTTACATTAACTTCTTTTCTAAAGGATGTAAAAATTTAACGTGTTCTTAAAATCTGAATGCTGGAACAGGTGCTAATTAACTCTGTTACCTGTGGAAACTCAAAATTTAGTAATTCATATAAAAATACCTTTTGAAATCAACTTCTGAAAATTTACCAAAAAAAGAAAATGGTTAAGTTAATTAAATATTACAAAACTGAATGTGAACTCCTTTCCAGGAAAAGAGCTTGCACCATCAGAATGAAAACAATTTTTAGAATTGTTGAGATTAAAGCAATTTTGAACATTAAGGTATACTTTGAAAAAAGGAAATGCGAATTTTCTAAATATTCAAAACTACTGTCTCCCCCTTATTTTATTTATCTTACGTACCATTAGAAAACAAAACCACACATATTACTCCCATGTATTCAGTCACTGAGTTACTTGTAATTACATCTGTGTAATTATATATTCAATCTACATAAGCAACCCATTTCAAAGACAGATATAAAAAGGCACACTGCATAGCCTTAGAAGTTTACTGTTTTTAAAAAACTGAGAATGAGGGAGTAATAAGGGGTTGTGTCATTTATCACAGATGTTCAATAAGCACCGATAACGTTTTACTGTTCAACCACGTAAGTAGTATCAGCAGTGTATTGTTGGTTTACCCACCTCATAGTGATGTTGAAGTAATTAGATATAGATGTCATGGCCTAGGTCAGCGTTTCTCAATCCATGGGTTGTGACCCAAAAGTGGGTCACAAGAATATATGAATGAGTTGCAAATAAACTTTAAAATGGATTAACAAACTTTAAAAATGGATTCTCCTTTACAAAAGAAAAATGTGGGAAACCATGGCTCTTCCCCTGCAGGCTGGAAGTTCCCACCTCCTGCCCCACATACTAAGGGGGGCTGGGGCAGAAGTGAGGGGCACTGGGCCAGGACTAGCCATCCATGTTTACAAATGGGTCCTGGTACAAAAAAAGGTCGAGAACCATTGGCCTAGGTAACTGAAGACAATAAGGGTCTTGCAGTATTTATCTAAAGACTGAGAAACACACAGTCCCACCTCCCCTCAAAGCATGCTGCCCATTTGTTCTCTTACCTTCAACTGCTGTGCCGCTGGGAGTCACTTGCTTTATATGAAAACAAATGCAGCTGAAAATATTATTCTTAGACCCCTGGCATAAGTCCAATACTCTGAGGATCGGACATGGGAAAGCCTGGGTCTGAACCGGTACCAGGGCTGTCTGGTGCTAAATCTCAACACTCACTTGAGTGTTGAGGGTTAGCATGGGGCAGCTGTGGAGTCCAGAATAAAGCCAGCCCCTGCCCAATTGGAGGGAGTAGGCTGGGGCAGCTCAAGGGCCTTAACTCGGGTATATACCTGGAAGATGCCAGGCATACAGCTGGGGATGGAGAAGTTTCTCACCTCCCAGCTGCACATACTACTTCAGAGAGGTACCCGACATAAGCAGTGTGGGATGGAAAAGCTCTCACCCCTGGCTGGTGGCACCAGGTAGCTCTTTAAACACACAAGTGCAGCTGGGAGAGGGGGATCCTTCCCCATTTCTCACTGCACAGGTTAGACACCTCTTTAAACCAGCACACTGTTTAAAGAGGCATCTGGCGTGTGCACCAGGGGATGGGGGAGGTCCTCCATTTCCAGCTGCACCACTGGGGGGCACCATGAGCCTGACATTGGGGAGCCGCTCCCTGATGTTTGGTTTTTGGCATTCAGGAATGTAAAAAAAAGCAGACAGACATTCAGCTGGGGTGCGGAGCTGCATTCCCTTTTTTTAAAGGTCCAGGACACTATAAGCCTAACATCAAGGAAGGGCTCCCTGATGCTGGGCTCATGGCACTCCAGACCTTTAAAAAGCAGGCATGCAGCTGGGAGCCCCAGGTACACACCCCTTTTTTACATTCCCAGTCACCTGGAGAATATCACCTGGAGAATAAGGAGCTCCTAGCTTCCCAGCTACTGCTTCCATGTTTGTGGGGGCAGGAAGGGGAAGAGGGCAACGGGGAAGTGCAGTCAGGGAGCAAGGAGCTTCCTGATCCCCAACTGTAGGTGCCCCTCTGTGTTGGTAGCTGTGCAGTTGGAGTCTGAAGAACTTTAAATCGTCTATCAGGAGCTTTAGCAGCTGTCACCTCTTGCACTGCCCAGTACTCATCAAGAACTAAAAAGCTCAATATTTGTTTTAAATTTCAAACAACAGTGTCTGGTAAGGATGCATATGCAAGCAAATGTATGTTAGTCAGCTTGGAGGAGGCATAATTTAGTGTGAAAATGTATCTTCATTTTCAAATAATGAGGGTTAATCAGTAAGATTTGAAATGCTAAAAGAAAAAAGTAATATACGGCAAGAGTCTCAGATAAGTTTTGAAATTCTTTTCAGACAACCATTGCCATGGAGGACTTCTCACAAAATAAAAAACAGCCCTTTAACAGGAACAACACCATTCTATTTTCGTGTTATTAAAAAAGAATAATCGTCTTTCCTTTTGGCTATGAGTTAATGAGAAGTTAACTTCCGTAGGAAGAAATATGATCTAGGATACAAACACTTACTTCAACAGAACCAATCTTCCTGGATCTTGGAAGGGGCGACTTTCTGTGTATGTGAATTGGGTCTGAAACCATGGGCTTGAACATAACTACTGAACGATCCGTTTCATCCCGCCTGGAAGCATGCACCTCCTCATCACTATCATTTCTATGTGAGGTTTTCTTGGGGCCTTCGTTCTACAAGCAAAGATTACTTGTTCATGTTAGCATCAGACTTTGTGACATTTGGACACAAAAATCCATTAAGTAAAATGAGTAACACAAAAAGCTTAAGTTATTTTATACACATAAGATGTTAATTGTATGCATGTAGCTTAAAGCTTTTAAACTATAAAAGTAGTACTTAACAGTTTTTTTTTTTTTTTTTTTTTTTTTTTTTTTTTTTTTTACACACCTACAAAAACTATCTACTACTTTAACTACTTGCAACTTATCACAATGTACACAATGACACCTACCTGCACCCTTATATTTTACATCATACTGTCTTTGTACAGGTTCCTTGCTGGATGCAAATGTAAAGTTTTGGCCCCTAATTGAAATCAGTGGTAAAACGGCTGCCAAATTAAATGGGGTAGGACTAAGCCCAGAATCTTCAAATTTGTAATGCTTAATTATTTAATTATACAGGCATCCGGGTAGAACTGCAAATATCACTGTTTTACTCAAATTATTTTGTGTGTCACTTTGGGCAGTTGTCACAACATCAGAAAAAGCATGACCTCCTGCTGATGCCATTTTTCCCCTATGCAATTTTAAGAATCTTCAACAACGAATTAAAGTCATAAAAAATCATAAAAAGCTGAGATCATATATGCTGTAAAAAACATACTTTTAGGATAAGCAGATATAAGGTTACCAAATACAGTATCTGTTTGCAATTGAAGGATCAGAATTATAACATTTTGCAATTTAGTTTACAGATTATTTAATAGCTCTGAGCACACAAAAGGATTTTTAAAGTTTAGTTTGCAAGTGAAGGAGCATTTTTCTTAGTTTTTTAGAAATCAGCAAGTCCATGAACTTAAATATATTTATTATTTTAATATAATTTTAAGTTAAATATTACCTCTCTGGAGGCAGGTCTATATCCATAACCAGCTGGTAAGTTTTTATCCTCTTCACAACCTTTAGCTCCTGGACTGAAGTGCAGCTCAACATGAAAACGTTCCTCTGAAGACGGTTCCTAGAGAAAGTGAACAATACATGTACTCTTTAATATACAGCCTGAATTAACCATCTCTGCAGATGGTTTTTTTTTCAGTTTACTTAATTACCTTGTTTGGATCCTCGTACAACATGATAACAATCTGAGTCATGTAATTAAGTTCATTGACAACATTGAGATAATCCATAGCTCGCTTCCACTGATCATCTTTTGATTCCTTAAAAGTAAATGAAACATTTTGTAACATGTATTTAAAAAAAATAAAAAGATACTAGCACAGGGCCTTAGGGCCCAATCCCAGCATACAGGGTCCAGCTAAGGCTGTGTGGGGCACAATCTGGCCAGCAGCCTAGTTCCATGCATTCACCTGTCCCATGGGGTCCAAAGTTTGAGCACCACTCATCTACGCAATCAATTAGTCTGACAACATCTAAGTTGGGGGCCTGTTTTATTTGTTTGTTTTTTTAAACCACATTTCCACATACCTCCCTAATAATCTCCCCTTCAAAATTTGTTCTAAAGCTTTGCAGCCTATTAAAGCATAGGCAAAGAAATGCTTGACGCTCTTTCCAAAAGGGAATGTTTTGAGAGGGCAGCAGCTAGTAGGTTTTAATTGTTGCAGGTGAATGAGCTGAGAATGTTCAAAGGCAGCAAGCTTACTTCAGCACTAGCCCTGGATGAAGAAGCATTAAACCTAAAGTGGGTAATGCTGCATTTGGATCGTTAAAAGTATCGCTGCTATCTAACCTACTAATTTTATGTGCCAGTTCTTACAAAATTCTGGGATGAAGAGTAACTAGTTCCCTCAACTTGAATTCATTAAGTGATAAGTTTTACTGTTGCCTCAGCTGTGATAATTTTCCTTCATGTAGCCTCATTCCCATTAACCATTCTTGCTTTGGCTCCCATCAAATCACCACTGCTGTCCTCCTGGAAACTGAGGCAAATCATTCATGTTGGTATCTAAACTATAATTAGGCTATCTTAAAGTTCTACCTAAGTAGGAGGAACTGAAGAGTTGAAATGCAAGTCTCTGCCTGGAAATTACCATACATAAGAAGTTACACTAAAAGTAACCTTAAATATTTTCCCTTGTATTTTTCTATTAAACCAAAGAGTTCCCAGTTGACCTGCGTGCATAATACAAATGCAAATGTTTTATAATATATTGGAACAGGAATTAGGCTGACATTTTCAAAGAAGCCTAGAGGAGTTGGGCACCCAACGCCTATTTATTTTTAATTGGTTCTGGACACAATTTCCTTAGGTTCCTTTTATCACAGCATTTTCTCCAACATAAAAATGTTCAACTTGCATCACATAAGGCACCGTATCGAAGGATTGATAGTAGAGAGTGGACATGACTCTCGCTGGTGAAATATAATCGAGTGCGAACGTGACGTTCTGGAGACATAACACCTCTAGAGTACCTAAAACGAGAAATACAGGAAAATCTTGGTTAGTGAATCATAAGTCATTTAGATGTACCTACATTACAGATCATAGCAGCCATTTTTTTAATTAGACACAGTTAAGTAATTAGTTTTACTGTTTAAATAGCATGTGTCTAAAAGCATTTCAAATATGCAAGTTACAAACATTTACTTTTAGTCAACAGAAATAACAAAACTTTACGTATGTATGCAAAACATTAAAACTTACAGAGGGTGGAGTTTGTTTACTGTATCATCATCTTGAGTTCTCTGAAGGTCAGAACGAATTTTCCTAACTAGAGGAGTACAGTATCCTTTGGCAATCTCTAATTTTTCAGCATTGGAAATACCATATTCCTAGACAGGAAGAAATTAATTTATTGAAACCAAACCATATAACACACAGAGAAGTGAACCTTCAATTGAAATCTTGCAAGTGAAAATAGCTAGCCACCTGCTACATTGTGGTGGTTGCAAACCATGGTCTAAATGTATGATTGTGAACAACAATACTGTGTTAGGAATGTCTGAAGAGGTTTCCCTATTTTTCTTCTGCCACCAAGCTTGCTTATTAGGCCTGTGGAAAGTGGCTAGTACTTGCTTTGGATTCGGATTCAGCCATTTCAGGGGACAGTGATTTGATTTGGCAATTCGAATCACTGTCCTAAGTTGAGTTGGCTGAATCTGATTCGGCCATCACTGAATCGGCTGAATCGAACAGGCCCCAGCCCCTGCCTGCTCACCCAGCCCCATCAATGGCTGCCCCCCCTCCCAGCATCATGGCACTTAAAAACAAACAAAGCTCTGCACTCATTGGCTCCTGCTAGGAAGTGGGGGGTGATCCCTGCTGCTCCCCACTACCCTGCATTGTGTCGGGGGGGGCTCTGCCATGAGACCCCAGAGGTCCCGACAGCTGCTGCAGCAGCCAGGGAATGAGACAGGGCTTTTTATTTTTTTAAAGTGCCAGGACGCTGGCACTGGTCAGGACGGCCATTGACAGGGCTGGGAGAGCGGGCAGTGATCAGGGGTTCCCCCCTGGTCCCCTACCCTCTTCTCCAGCGCTCCCCCCGCCAATTACCTGCATGGAGCCTGGGTCCAGCTCCCTGCAGTGGCAAGCGGGGACTGTACAATTCTCCAAGTCTTCTCCAAATTGATTTGGAGGCTTTGAATCAATTCAGACCTTTTAATTGGTCTCCTGATTCAAAATTGGAGATTTGGCCGCCGAATTGGGCTGAATCGAATCAGCAACCGAAGCTTCGCACTGCCCTCTTGCTTATACCAAGTATGTTCTGAAAGTGTTTACTCTTGTGGCCTGAGATGCAGAGGTTTTAATTTCTTTACCTCACTACCAACTGTTAAAAAAGATGCATCTTCCTTTCCTACTTTTGAAAGACATTTGGTGGTCAAATCTATCTGGAAAAAAAGAATAAGGAACCCCTCCCTCCAGGTGTTCTGTAATGAGTAACATCACCAGCCTACAGCATATTGCTGTATTATTCTCAGCCTGACTGAATCTGGACATCAAGGGATCTGAAAGACAAGCATAGTTAAAAGACTACCATGGCAGGATATCCCTTGCATTCTTATCACCTTGGGTACTGAGCATACTACCATGTAAACAGAATCGTCTCATTTCTATTTGTGAATCACCACCAAAGACAATCAAAATCTACTCAATGCAAAGCTTCACTACATTAGTCTGAATTGTAACTTAAATGAATTTCCTTGGGGTTAAAGCACACTGAAAAGCAATAGCAATCTGTCTTGCTTATAATTTTTTCAGTCATTATAGTCAATGAAATAATACTTATTCACCTTCATACCACTCCACGCACCATACTAAATCGTATAGTGCTTCAATTTTAACTCCTTCAGAAAACAGGAGAATTTCTCATGAAAAGTAGGTTTCTGTATTTAACATCCTATCAATGTCAAACACAGCAAACAAGAATCTGAGGTTACTATACCAGGAGTTTAAATAGTAGCATTAACACACACACACACAAAAATTAAAAAATTGATAGTTTGCATTCCCAACATGGGAGAAAAAAAGACTTTAAATAAGTTAGGTGAATATCCACTTTTTTGTACAACCAGCAGTTACAGGTGACCCTCTGAACACCTGGCATTATATATTTCTGTAATGCTGTACAGCACACACTAGCTCACAAAACTAGCTTCATTCTTCTAATTGTACTTGACACCTCAATATTTCAGTGCAGTTCATTCTCTGTAAAAAAACTTACAATATACTAAAGAAAAAAAAATATAAATAATTTGTGTGTTAATTTGTATTTTCTCAACCTTTCAGTTTCTCAATGTGTTAGCTAGTCCCATGGTCAACCCCAACCAGTCAATAGCTTTAAAAGGTCCTTACAGGGTATTTCAAGTAAAGTTAACCAAGATTAAAAACAAACAAACAAACAAACAAAAACCCAAAACACCCCAATCCAAAATACAACGGCATTTTTTTCTAGTTTTTGATGAGTCAAATAAAAGGGTTATGTAGTTAAGGCACTTTTTTTTCAATTAGTCAACAGCACACAAGGAGGAAATATGGCTAGGAACATTATCAATTTGAACAACTAAGTGCCCTATTTTCAGCATAATCAACTCTGGGTGAGCTTCAGTCAAAGTTTAAAGTAAGGCTTAAGTATTCTGCCACGATGCCTAATCTTGACAAGGCATTGTCTGGCATTGTCTATTAAAAAAGGGAAATAAACCCCCCCAAAGGTAGAGCCATGATATAAAGAAACTAATATGTTTTCATCCCTATAATCTTCTTTTTCAGGTACTTGGCTGGTACATTTTGGTCATGTGCCAAAGCTCCAACTAATTGCCACTTTGGGTTTAG